GGGTGGGGGGGGGCGTCTGGAGCCTGGGAACCTCGCTGGTTCTTACTCAGAGTGACACAGGGCACAGTGACCTGGCTGGACGCCCAGCTATCAGAGGAGAGGAGCAGGGAGTAGGAACCGAGCGGAGGCTATCTGGGATGCTGGTGGCAGCGCCGGTCCAGCGCCAGTGGGCAGGGACATGGGAGAGAGATCCCAGAAGTCACTGAGCCCTTATTGGGTCCCAGCATCTTGCCAGGGGATCTACGTGGAACATCTCATTAAACCCTCACCAGGACAGGGTGGACACCCCACGGGGTTAGGAAGTTTCCTTCCACTTCTGTTTCACTTACTGGGACTGGCTGCTGGATTCCATCTGGTGTTTCTTTGGCACCTCGTGGCATCATCATAAGCCTTGTTTATGCCAAACATCTGTCTCCTTCTGGGCGTTGGGAATTTACGAAAGAGGGTGCCCACGTGCTCAGCCCCTGTGAAAACCTGGGCACCAAGTGTCCTACAGGTGTCCCTGGTGGGCGACCCTCCACATGAGTCACAGCTCACTGCGGGGGATTCAGCGCAACCGGCAGAACAGATAAACTCCTATCCCCAGGGCCTTCAATCTGCCCCTGTGGCGGGGAGGCCCGCCTGACCCTGTGACCTGGCTCTGCTGTGACCTCTGTATGTGTACTTCCACCACTGAGGGCTGGGATTGCTTAGAAATTCTCAGCCCCAACACGGAAGCCCTCTGAGCAGCCGGAATCCCGTGTGCCAGCCTGCTTGGCGCTGGGCAGAGGGACTTGACCACAAGCGAGGCCCAGACTGACCTGTCCCGATGGCTGCAGCAGTGGGCTCGAGAGACCTTTTTCCCTATGCCAGGCCCTGGCAGGTGCTTTGCACACATGTGGCTCAGACTTTTCAAGGGTCTCTTTCCTCATCTCCCAGGTAAAGAGGAGCCCGTGTTTCCTGGGCACAGCCTACATGCCTGGGACAGCTGTCACAGTGTCCTTTGGGGATGCTTCTCATGTAGGGTTCACCAAATGCAAGTGACAGGAACCCCAACCTGGGCCAAGAGAAGCAAAAGGCTCTTCTTGGGAGGATAAGATTAGCTCAAAGAGGAGAAGAGAGAGTTGGACATTGACCAGATCTTAAAAGGCACAGGAGCAAGCCAGCTCGGGGACGTGGGGACGGGGGGACCAGGGGTTTCTGCGTTTATTTGCTTGGTGTGCCAACTTCTGCCTCTGCTGGTCTGTTCCAAGTTCAGATTCCCAAAGAGCAACTATAATTGGTTTTTCAGGTTTAATATGGTACGTATTTTTTTTAATTTTATGCCATGACTTTAAAAGAGTGAATAAAGAGTAATAGTTCCTGCACTTTTAATTGGTTGGCTCACAGGTGCGGGAACGCACTAATTGCGAGAAAAGCAGTGATGGGTGTGGCCGAGCTGCTACAGAATCCATTCTTTTCCTGTGTGACTTCTACGTGCAGCCGTGAGCCTCGCTGATGTCTCTGCAGCAGATTTATTTTCCTTTAGGTCATAAAATAGGAAAAATTGTGAAGGTGACTTTGGACTTTTGCATGTGTATTGTTAAGATACATTTGATACAATCATTCAGATTCCAGGGGAGAGGGACAGGGGGCTGATCTTGGCACCCGCCCAGCCGTGCGTCCGTGGAGCACCCAGCACCCTGACCAAGATCCTCATCAGGACCACATACCCAAGGAGGTGTGGGTCCCAGGAGTAATCGTGGTGCTGCTTCTAGAAGGGGAGGGTATGCTACACAGACAGACGTGTAAACACGCCCTTTAGAGGCACCCCCATCAGATGAGTAAGAGCACACGGCAGACAGACACAGCTGTAAAGAGCGTGGGCACCCTCGTTCTGTGCGAGGAGAAACAGAGGCTCCGTGGGGAGTGACTTACTCCAGGTGGAGGGCAGGGGAGCAGAGGGGTCTGCTTCAGACCCAACCCCCACTGATTCTGAAACCCACCACATCGCTGCAGCAGCTGTGCGCGGCCCCCGCCCCACTGCCAAGGGCTTCCCTTGCGCAGACCTAGTGTGAGATACACTTTAATCCCTGTTTGAGAGATGAGAGCCAGGAGGCTCAGAGACTCCTGGACAGAGGTCACAGCGCCCTCACCACGGGGTCTCTGCTCTCCAAAGAAGGGACTTAAAGGAGCATAAACCCTCCGTGGGAAGAATGTGCGTGCAACACCCACGGAGAGCAGGTCGGAGGCCTGAACTCAGGGGAGGAGACCCCAACATGGGGTGAGCATGCCCGAGCTCACGCCAGGTCCTCAGGGTCCAGGCACGGCTCCTGGCTCGAGCCCAGCCAAGCCCGTGTGCGCGGGCCCGCCGGACGCGAGGGCAGGGGCGCTGAGGTCGGCCTGGGACGCCGTCCCTCGCCCACAGCAGGAAGCAGCCCACGCCAGGCCCGCCCACAGGTGGCACGGGGACGCCCCGGCGACGCTTACAGGCTGTGGTTCTGCTCGGGTGTCTTACGGCCGCCAGACCTGGGAACCTGGATGTTCCCGTATCTGCGGGAGCTCAGGTCAGAGTTTGGGCTGGGAAACCAGACTACCGTGGCTGAAAGCATCCCCAGAATCACAAATCAAGGCCTCCTTTTGGTCAAGAATTTCAACCTCCTGAATTTTGACCCAAAGCCCGAATCATAGGAGGGGGCGTGGCCAGTCGGAGCGCCCCTTTCCCTGGCTTCAGTGATTGGCCCAAAGTGGGCATGTGACTCAAGCCCGGCCAATGAGAGCCGAGGGGGTCTTCGGAGCCAGGTTAGGAGGGAACCTCTCCCGCCCGCAGTGTGCGGGGACAGGTGAGCCCGGGCCTGCGGTCCTCGGGCTGGCGGGCACGGGGAGCAAGGCCCAGGGTGGGAGAAGCCAGGCCCCAGGCCTCTAGCCGGGCCTCTGAGTGCAGCTGCGCCGGACGAGCGAGGCTCTTTCTTGCTCCCGTCAGCGTGGTTTCAGTGTCTGCCCCTTGTTTCCAGACAAGCAGACAGAAGGGACCGGACTGAGGAGAAGCAGAAAGGAGGCAGCTGGGGGGTCTCTGCCTCAGCTTTACTCTTCGCTCAAACGTGGTCCCGTGGTAGGCGCGGCTGCACAGCCCGGGCGGGATGGAGGGGGGACGGTGGCAGTGCCGATCAGCTTGACCCACGAAGACTGGCAGGCAGAGCGCGGCGCTGCGGGGCTCTCAGATCCCTCCTCCGGAGAGCGGGCCCTTCCGAGTGTGTGGCTGGCGGACTGCTGGTAAATGCTGGGTGACTGGCTCTCTAGGTCTGGGAGGCGGGGCAGGAGAGCATGATGTGCAGTGTCCGCCACCTTCCGCGGTGTAAACACTCCCGCACGGACGCTTCAGGCTCCCAGTGCAGTCACCGCCCATCAGCTGGGAGGAGGTGCTCGCAGGCGGTTCCCAGGAGCCCACCAGAGCTAGTCCCAGTCACCGCTGGTCCTTGCCCCCTTCCCTCCCAGCCCTGCTGCCTTCTCTGTGTTGGTTAAGACTCCTTTTTGGTTGCACGTGGCTGAAACTCAAATTACCTTCAGCAACGAAGAGGGAAACTTATTGGCTCAGATCCTGAAACGTCCAGGCATGGCTGGGTCAGACTGTCCCTCGCTCAGCTCTGCCTTCCTCTGGGGGGATTTGTACCCAGCAGGGGTTCCCAGATGGGGTCGCTTCCCAGGAGAGTGGCACCGAGGGCAGCGTCTCTGTCCCCACGACTGCAGCACTGACCCAGGCTGCTGGTCATCACCCCACTTCGGTCACTCGTGTAAGGCAAGGCCGCCGCAGTGACCGAGGGTGAGCCCGCCTGGAGCAAGAGGGACCGAGAAGGGAGGGCCACAGGGGTGCTGTTCCCAGAAGAGAGGCACACCCATGCTCTCCTGGGAGCCCCCCATTTGCTGTTGAATCTGAACTGACCTCACCCACCCTGATTCTGGTCACCCTCAAATTCAGGGCTTTCTCTGCCCTGTTGCAGCCAGGCCTCTGCACTGACCTGGTCCTGACCCCCACTTTTTGGCTCCTCCACCACCTTCTCAATCTGGTTCAAAATGACCGCCCCCCACTGCCCTGCACAGTCTGAAAGAATTATCTGGGTGTCTCTCCCGGGCCATATAAATTAGTTGGATAATCCCCTCCATGGCTTAGGTCCACACAAGCCAATCTGGTTTCACTTTACTTGTCATTTCCCCAAAAGCCCAGTTTCCTCTTTCTCTCCTGCTCAGTTTCACATGGCCACCCCCCATCTCCAGCCTGCAGCCCCCTCTGTCAGATTTTCTGTCTCCTTTGTTCACCTCCAATAGAAACTGGGAGCTGCTGGGAGCAAAGGAAATAGAAATTGCCGCTGAAAGATGGGAAGAACACAAAAAAGTTTTGCAGTAAAAAATGAAAATAGTGAGGCAGTCCCATAATTTTAAAAACACCCAAAAAACCCTGCATAGATGGGAAAGGAAGAGCCCCAGGAGCAGAAAGGATATGAGTGGAGAAGGCAGATGGGGCAGATGTCATTTTGCACAGAATGTGGTCCCTCTGGTCAGGTCGTGCCGACAGGTGAGCACCAGGAACTCGGAGGGAACCAGAGCTGGGGACCGAGGGCATTCCCGTCCGCATCTGTCCAGTGTTTCCAGCGGGAGGGACAGGAGTACTGGGACATTGAAGCCAGGCAGAGATGATGAACATCAGAGGTGGAGGTGGCAGCTCTTCTCAAGGAATGTGAGGGCTGACCGGCCAGAGGAAGGGCTGGGGGGAGACGCTTGCAGGAGGGGAGGAGGCGGAAAGGAAGACAGCACCAGCCCCACACGGACCCGTGGTCGTGCTCCACGGACCCCTCACTGGTGAGGCCCCCTCGCCCCAGCACGCGGGTATCCTTGTCCTGGAGGGGTGGTGCCGCTCCTTCCACCACGTGGGCAGCGCAGGTGCAGAAAGCAGGATGGAAGGTCAAGGGCCAGAGGCCACAGATGGATCCCGCTGCTTCTTGAGGAGACGCCTGTGTTCTCGAAGTCAGGTCCTAAACTACTACCAGTAGTGATGGTCATCGCTGCTGCCAGGTGCTCTGAGTGTCCATACGGGGCAAATAAGTGTGCGAATCAGGGTCCACATTTCAGGGCACTGAATTCTCACGGTAACCCCCAGAGGTGGGTAAATATCCCCATGTCCGGGAAGAGGACCTCCATATCCAGTATTCGAACTGCAGGCTGTTTCTAAATCCCACTCCCTGCCATCCACAGAAAAGCAAAGAAGCCAACACCGTAGGGCTGAGTCCTGGGAGCTCAGATGCCCAGTTGACCCCCTCCCACCCACTTGGCCGTGTGGAGTCAGTAGCCCAGCAGATGGAAGGACCCTCCTCCGTTGGGGGCAGCTCATCTTCCTCCTGAAGGGCTCAGGGAACAGGGAGCACAGCGTGGTGGTCAGGGCTCAGCTCTGGAGCCGCGTGGCGTGAGCGTGTCTGCTGACCTCTCTGACCCTCAGTCTCCTCTTCTATAAGCTGAAGTCTGATACCCACTCAGTGGGAGGAGTGGAACAGGCCCGTGTGCAGTGGGAGGAGTGAGCATTCAATCCAGTTCCGTCAGTGAGATGGTCAAAACGCGGCAGGGCTGTGCTCTGCTCCCGGGTCCCGCCAGAGGGAGTACGGAGACGGCACGGAGGCGGCACTGGCCAGGCCTCTCGCTTTCTGACCACAGAGGACTCTGTTTGCGTGATCCTGTCCATCAGCTGCAGGAGGTAAAGTGGAAACTGCAAGCCTGGGGGCCCCATGGCAACTGGTGAGCAGCCTTCCTGAAGGGTCACTCTCGCAGGGATGCTAACAGGCCCTGGCTATGGCTCCTTCCAGCACCAAAGTGAATTGTAAGCCACGTGTGAAGTGAAGCCAGTCATGGCCTTTGATCATCTAAATGACCACTGACAATGAGTCCCAGTGCCAGCAGGGCAGGTCCTGCGCCCGAGTCCCTGAGCACCGTTCTCCAGTGTCTGCTCCTGGAGGGGACGCATGCTCGCAGACCGGTGTGGCTTTGGAGTTCACAAAGCTCACAGATTCTCTTCCATCAGTCGGGGATCTTTGGCCAAAACACCTGTCTCCAGCACACAGGCCAAAAGGGAGATGCCCAGAAGAATTTGGAGGGTCCCTGCTGGAAAGGCAGGCTGAAGGTGGGCCCTGGAGCCAGGTCAGGAACTGCTTTGCACCCATGCGGGACCCAGGTCCCAGGAGATCCTTCTCTCTGGCCGGGTCAGGTGAGGGGCCTGAGGTGGGCGTGAGCTGGTGGTTCCCAGACTTGCACGGGGGAAGACAGGTTCTAGGAAGGGAACCCTGTGCTCTCAGGAAGGCGACTGTGGCTACTGGGTCCAGAGAAGACACCTTGACCAGGAAGAAGGGACACGATTGTCACATTTTTATCCTGGGCAGTTACTTTTCACTGCAAATTTGTAAACTGGCAATACGGCTCCTACAACTGTATGTTTTCTACCTCCATTCCTTGTTCGCTATTTCTTCCCTTAAGTTCTGGGTGTGAGTATGTTTGGGGGAAGGTGTTATTTTGGAGGTTGGTGAGGTGTGGTTCTCTGAGCCTGTCCCCTCGCCCAGTCCGTGAAAGGATAATCCCCACCTAGGAAAGCGCTCTTCCCTCGACAGCCCAGGAAGCCATGTCAGTCCCTCCCGGCCCCCAGCACCAGCCAGGCTAAGGTCACTGGCCCCTCCGTCCCCAGCTGCACTCCCATCGCCCATTCTCCGGCCACATGGCCTGGCTTCAAACCCAGAGCCAACCAGTGATGGCCCCAGAGTTCAGCTCCCCCAGAGCAGCCTGCCCTCACTTGTTTCTGGCCTTCAGAGTCCTGGGGGTGAGGCTGTGCCCCTCAGGCCCTGAGAGCACGCTGGCCGCCTGCCTTCTCAGAGTGACAAAGACCCTCCTGATGCAGAGAACACACGGAGAGCCTTCGCCCTGGTGCAGAGGGTGTCAGAACGTGAGCTGAATCCCACAGAGTCCTGAGAACAGGCGGGTGCTCAGCGTGCCGTGCTATTTGCCGGTTTGATTCATTACAACATCTCCAACTGCTCTTGTGCTTATTTTAAGCCTTAAAACAGCCGTGCCTGCCGACAGCTGGCTCATCTTGGTGACAGCCCCAAACTGCAAATAGACGGCCGTCATCAGCTCTGTGGTGAGAACAGGGACCGTGGGGTCTGGGCTTGGAGTCGGCCTCCGATGCTGTCCATCCTCAGGGACCAACTCCCCTGTTACGTCTCGATGCAGCCGCCATGGAGACCTTGGGGTTCACGGTGCCGGGGCGACGGTCCGTGAACACCCCGCTGGCGGAGGCGTCTGGGGCTGACAAGCTAAAGACCCCCTTTTCACAGATTGAGCTTATCTTTTTAACCTGCTTTACTTTTATTTTATTTTATTTTGGAGGGGGGAGGTAATTAGGTGTTTTGTTTTTCTTTTAATGGAGGTACTGGGGATTGATCCTAGGACCTCGTGCATGCTAAGCACATGCTCTAACACTGAGCTTACCCACCCCCAACCTGTTTTATTGAAGGGAATTACCCTGACACCACCTTCTCATTATAGAAAGTCACTTTGAGATGATTTTATTCAGAGCTGCAGCCTTAAACTGGGCTCTTAACTTTTGGGGCAGGAAAAGCCAAAAGTTTAGCTTGAATCCTGCCATGAAAGCTAAGGGGCTGGACCTTCGAGCAGGCCTGGGTAGGGGGCACTGGGTGACCCGGGACAGGTGACTTAACTCTTCTAAGTCTCAGTCTCCCCATCTCAAAAGTGGGATGACAGTGAGTGCTGGAAGGGTTGCTGTGAGGAGCGGTCCCTGGGGAAGGCAGGGTGCTTTGCATGACGCCCAGTGTAGCAGGCATTCAGCGAACGCTGGCTTGTCAGCTAGGAGCCTCCACAGCTCATGCTGACCATCAGGCAAGACCCTTTACTCCTTTGTCTGTCCCTTCATCCCACAGCAGAGACAGGCCATGGCTGCTGGCTTTTTGTCCTTTGGGTGCACCCTGAATACCAGACACTCTGCTAAGGACTTTGTCCTTAATCCTTGCAATGTCCTTGTCAATCAGGCACTAGGATCCACCCCATTTAACCGGCAGGGAGACTGAGACTGGGAGCAGTTCAGTAATTGGACTGCAATCACTGCGTTTGGAGGCGACGGTGCCACCCCTGACCCCGAGCACACCCCTGACCACCTACAGAAAGGGCGGTAAGACACTGTTCTCCGGTTTTTAAATAATGACACTGGCTGGTGACTGTCTCTGCCGGTCCATCTGATTTTAGAGACACTGTTCTAGAGAGTCTTCTGTTCCAGACTTCAAAGAGGCTGGTGGTGTTTAAATCAACAGCTGTGTATGTTTGTACAAGGAGCTCCCATTGCGTCAGTCCCCGCCGGCTTCTTGCGCTCTTTCTCTTCTCCTGAAATGCGTTTCAAGGAGTGGTGCTCACGGGCACCAGAATGCCCGATTCCGGGTGCACCCGCCCCGCCAGGGGAGCTGCTGCAGCCCCGCCGGGGCTTGTGGGCTCTGCTGCCGCTCACCTCCGTGCTCTTCTCCTCATCTGCGTTTGCAGGTCCCAGAGGATCCAGGGGCAGCAGCCTTTGGGGGGTTGTTATGAGTTTGCTAGGTCCCAGCCCAGGGTGGCCGCTGCCGTTCACTTACAAATGACCAGATGTCGGCTAGAAGGTGGGGAGGAGCAGCCCCACTGAGAGGAACATTCTTCCTGGCAGGCGGAGGACCTGGATTCCAAAGCCAGCGCTCCATCCACATTCTCTTCCTTAAACGGGTGGACGGTGGACGGGCGGGCTGCTCTCTTTAGGAAGCAGACGGGGGTGGGGTGGGGGGATGCAGGGAGGCTGCTTTCACGGAGAATTCTGGGGGGAGCTGGATGTGGGGAGAGCGTGGAGCCCTGGTCCCTAGACTCCAGTCCTGCCTGGAGAGTGACCTTGGGAAAGCCTTTGGAACCCTGCAGCTCTTCACCTGCCAGAGGAGGGAGCGATGCTCATGTGCCCAGTCCCCTCCCATCCCAGCAGCGCCCCATTCCCTGTTCTCTCTGTTGTTGGCAACAGTGGGGAGTGGTTTTTCCAGGAGGCTATTTTTGGTGGGGTTTGGCTGACTTGCAGCCAGTGGTGGGTTTGTGCCCCGGGCAGTTGGTGTCGCTATTTCTGAAGGCCTTATGTGGTGTCCATGCAGAGTCCCAAGATGCTTGAGCCGGAGGGAGCCCTCTCTTCTTTAACAGGTGCCAGGTTACGTGACGTGGGGCCCCAGCATCAGCGGTTGGCCTTGCTGCTGTCTGACTGCACAGCATGGGGTCATGATCTCAGTTCATCCTGCCAGCCCGCCTCATTCCCCCGCTGGGCAGCCTGAGGCTCCCAGAGGCTGACCAATGTGCTCAAGGTCACACAGCAATGGGCTCATCCGTGCATCTTGGCGGCACGTGGCGCCTGCTGGCTGGGGCTGCAGACTCGCTTCCCACAGGCAGAAGAGTGGGACCACCAAACCACTGCCTGCGTTTGGAGGTTGTGTCTCTTCCTTAGATGCTGTTTTGTCCTTTGAAGGACACAGTGGAAAAGGCACGGGTTTGGGCGTTGAACCTGGGTTCGAATCCTAGCTCCCGTGACCGGGATTACCAGCATCCTCGTAACCTCTCCTAATGAATTAAAAAACAGCTCAAAGCTACAAAGGCCAGCTGGCTGCAGCATCCTCACCCCTCGAAGGGAAAACTCACCCCCTGTATTTTCAGCCTCAGAGAATCTCCAGTGAAGTCCTGCAGTTTGAACCCAGTAGGGAGGCTCTCTGTGCTGCTGGCCGGTGGGCCCAGGCTCCTGGATCTACTGTGCTTTATATACTGGCTGGGGGAAGATACTCCTGTGTATGTTTTGGGGGAGGGGGTGATTAGGTTTATTTACCTACTTAGTAATTTTTTAGCGGAGGCACTGGGGATTGAGCCCAGGACTTGTGCATGCTAAGCACGCGTTCTATCACTGACCTAGACCCGCCTCCCTCTGTGTGTGTTTTTAAATTGAGATGTAATGTGTCAGGAGAACAAAGCCATACACCTCATGACGAGGTGGCTGTGCTGACATGCTAGGCCAACACGCTCCCTTTCGAGTGAAGACAGACAGGATTCAGGACTTGATCGGGGGTGGAATCACGAACTGGATCTGTTTTCTGTTTTATGCTTCAATGCCCTCTGCTGCCAGCGCCTTTAATGGCGAAAACCAAACAGAGGACTCTGCCAGCCAGGCGTTCTGGACACTCTCAGCAGCCTCCTTCACAGCTGACATGTCTTCCCTGCTTTTGCCGCGTCAAGGAGCTGCTGCCCCAGGACCTCACACCTTCGTTCTGCCGGTGTCTTCCCGAGCTGTCCCAGCCACCCCACTGTCACACCACGCTCACCTCAATCACAAGCAAGATGTCCGGCCATTACCGCTGTATTTGTAGCACTTGGTGGTGGAAATCTGTTAGCAAAGTGCAGCTGAGGAGGGCCCCCTCACATCAGAGCCCCTGGGAGCTCGTTCAGATGCAGACTCCCAGCCCTGGCCTTGGGCCTGTGGGGACGGGGCCCACCACACCCCAGTTCAGAGCCAGAGTTCCCCATGACACATCCTTAGGGCTGAGCCTGAGCGTCATGCTAACAGCTCCTGGGGAAGCCTCTCTGGGGATTCGGGGCGACTTAGAAAGGACAGTTCCAATCAAAGCGGCCCTATAGTGAGACTGGACTGACTGTATCTCAGAATTCGTTTCTTTAAACATCTTGCTCATTACATATCTGCTAATGAAATTATTTGGTGCTGTGGTTTAATCTGATATTCTGTCATTCAAAAGCCATCTTTATAATTTTTTTTTAATTAAAGGAAAGTCTGGAAATCCGACAGCCCTGGCATGCCGCTCAGAAGTGGTTTTCTTTGCCTTGTTGCCACCCAGGGGGGTTGGAGCCCTACCACCACCAGTGGCAGCACGGGCGCCTGCACGGCTCAGGTGTTCACTGTGAGCAGCTGGGGGCCCTCGGGGCCAGGTGATGGGGACAGTTGAGGTCCCCCCTGTCAGTTTGTCATTTCAGCAGGACAGCAGTCTCTTGAGAGAGAAATCATGCGACCTCAGTGTAAGTGTCACAGCACCACTGCAGGTCAACAAAGAGACTAACACACAGCTCCCACTGTTTCACATTGCAGGAGTGAGCGGCGGCCCCCTGGAAAATCTCTACAGACTAAAGCAGTTCCACTTCCACTGGGGAGCAGTGAACGAGTGGGGCTCAGAGCACGCGGTGGACGGCCACGTGTACCCCGCCGAGGTTCGCAGCATCATCCTAGCAGCCGGCATGTGGCGCTTCCCACGCGTCAGGCTCTATGGTCAAGTGATCAAGCCTCCTGGTTGCTCAGAAAGGAGAGGTTTCCTGGCACGTGGGACCCTCAGTGCTCACACCAGAGCAATTGGCCTCCTTGCCCATTAGACCTCATGACTGTCCTAAAGGGAGGGTACTGTTAACACTTTCCCTGAACTGAAGAAGAGACTGAGGTTCTGAGTGGTATTGTAACTTGCCAGAATCAGACAGCTGGGATTCAAGAGCAGTCTGCTCTCAGCGCTCACTCAGCTGCGTGCTTGCTGGCCAATTGCGGACTAGCAGCTTCTTGCCCTTTGAGGCCCTCTATTGAGAATAGAAAACCTTTCCAATAGAAATTATCTTCTTAAAACAAAGTGTTATTTGCAACATCCCAAAATGAGAGTCAGGAAAGGAAATGAGTAGGGATCGAGGTCAGGAGCTTGAGTTGTAGTCACTGGGGTGATGAGTGGTGCCTTACAGATGCCTCCCAGTATTTTATTATGAAATTTTTCCAGCATACAGAAAAAATGGGAAGAACTATACACTGAGAACCCTTGCGTGTGCCACCTGGATCCAATGGTTAGCATTCTGCCGTATTCACTTTATTTCACTTCTGTCCACCCACCAGCTGCCCACTTTTTAATGCATTTCAAGTTCTGGACTGTTTGTGTCGCTGCTGTGTGGAGGTAATACTATGGTTAAAACAGGACCAGAATCCAGTCAAACCAAGAAGTGAACATCACTGTCATCACACAGCCAGAGGTGGCCTCTGGGGACAGTCCATAATCAGGGAATTACATCTGTTATTGTAATTGCACGCATTTTTACAAAGATGACAAAAATGAAGAAACCTCATTTTGGCTTGCAACATACTCACCTTCAGTGAGCCGCAGGCCTCTGGTCGTGGTCGCTGCGCGCCTGTACCTGGTCGTGGTTGCTGCGTGCCGGTACTCTGGTTGGTCGTGGTCGCTGCGCGCCTGTACCTGGTTTTTCATGAGCAGATGTGTCGACTGAGGAGGTGACTGCAGTCTATCAGCACTGGTGCAGGGTCAGCTTGGGACACACCAGGGGCTGTCCCCGATGCAGGCTGAGAAGGGGCTGCGGGGCCTCCCTGGCCATGCCTCTGGCCTGTGATGTTGGAATAAGTCATTCCTGTGGGGTTTGCAAGGCAAAGCCAGCTCCAGAGGTGGGTCCGTGAGGGAGGGAGTTGGGGCTTAGGGCCCAGCCGGCCTTATTTCTGGAAGCTGGTGGGGGTTCCAGGTGGGCTGTGGGAGGCCAGGGAGAGCCCGGGCCACCTGCAGTGTCCCAGTGCACCTGGCCAGGAACACTGGGGCTTGTTGGGAGCAAGAGGCCACCTGGAGCCAAGTGGACCGCGCACCCCAGCAGAGCCCCTAGGCCCTGGGGTCCAGCAGCTGCTGGGGGAGGCCTGGGGCCCTTCTGGCCGAGTCCTCGTGGACTCGGGGCCTGGGTCACCATTCAGACAGGCCTCCACCACCATTCACACTGTAGCCAGAGAGATGAACGGACGCCCAGGCCCGTTCTCCGCTCTGAGCCCGACTCCGCACCTGCAGCCACGTGCTTGCATCACACAGAACCCGGTGTCCAGCTCTGCCGCCCTCCTCGCCGGCAGCCTGGCTCCTCGCCCCTGATTTAAATCCCTGTGGTCAGGCCAGTCCTGATGCCGAGTCTGGTTTAGGAAACTGTGGAGGGTGCGGGGGGAAAGAGGTGAGGTCCAGGGGAGGGGGAGGACTGAGGCAGGATGAATGCTATGGCGGGGGGCAGACTTTCATTAAAATTTCCTCATTGATTATGTGAAACTCAAATTTCACAGAGGCCTGTGTTTGATCTGGCAACCCTCGTTCTAGGATATCTGAGAGGTAGCCAGCCATCCCTGCACGCACTTCTGTTTTCTGAAGTTAAAGCGGGCCTCCCTTCTCCCCCGCCCCCCCCAACCCCACTGGAAACGCTGAGCCCCTGCTCTCAGTGGTTTGCTGAAGCATTTGGCTGCAAGCCGGCCGGCCGCCCCAAATTTATTAAAATCATTAAAATCATCAAAGGGGCACAGACCAGCCGCACCGGAGGAGGGGCGGCCGCGGAACGTCTCGCTGCATCGAGCGGTGTGAATTCTCCCTCTGTGTTCCAGCTGCATCTGGTTCACTGGAACGCGGTGCGATACCAGAACTACCAGGAAGCCATGACAGGAGAGGACGGCCTGGCTGTGCTGGGCGTGTTTTTGCAGGTAAGCTTGCTGGGGCTCATTAGGAGAGCTGCCCTTTTTAAACACAGTCCACTGAGAATGACATGTGCCTGTCGCCCTTTCACACGAGCAGCTGGGGGCCCACCACCAGGCGCTGCAGGAGCTGGTGAGAGTCTTGCCCGGCATAAAGCACAAGGTGAGCTCTGGACTTTGGAATCAGCTTAACTGGAGAAGCAATATTGTTTAGAGCCGGGACTCCTTTGCAAGGAAACAAAAAATGTATAGTAGCAGGTTCCCAAAATTTACTCAGGCAGCATCTCGAAGGTGTTTGCCGTGTGCACTCGCCAGGGCAACTATTAGTTACTTAGTATTTTCATGAAATTGATCCACTTTAATAAAAACTTCAGCCTTCTCTCAGACAACAGCAGCCACCAGTGATGACGTTTGTTTTAAAACCAACTGAAGTCAGTTCCCACCTATTCACACAGTTGGAGAGTGTTTGCCCAGGGGCCACCTGGCCCGCTAGCATGGGCCCCGTCCCAGGAGCACGGGGAGGCGGGGCTGGGGGTGAGGTCCCACAGGCACCCTGCCCACCCCACCCCCCATTAGCAAGGCCAACAAAGGCACTTTTCTCCAGTATCAGCTGGGAAAGGACTTTGACGGAGAAATGGAAATTCCTGAAAACTGCATTTATTTGTTTAGTACCAAACAGAAGGATTCCGGGAGGGAAGGGGTCACCGTGCGGTCCTTGGATGTGGGGGCGGAAAGGGCTCCGACCTGTCCTAACAATGGCGAGAGGGGCTCCAGATGGAAGCAGGGGGCCAGCCCTTCCTCGGCACTTCGAGGGGCTGTTTGATCTGTGAGGTGTCAACCTCCGGCCGGCCTCCTGGAACCAGACCAGGTGGCCCCCTGCTGCCCCGTCTGCCAGCTCAGGAACTTAGCAAGGTCGCGGTGCTGGGAGCATCCGCTTTCTCACTGGTCCATGGCCAGAGTAAACCTGGAGGTTCCCCTCCCGCATCCACCTCCCACTGGTGTGGTCTCCACCTCTTGGTGGGAAAGAACAGAGCTGCTGGGGTGCTGACTGCTCAGGGGTCTGCTTGCCTCTGCAGGAGTCAGCGGGAGAGCCGGGGAAGCTGCCTGGGCCCAATTCCGGCCCTAACGCTCATCCCTGGGCCTCAGTTTCCTCGCCTGAAAAATAAGAGTTAGAATCTTAAGAGAGGAGAGTCCTGCCTCAGAGGCAGGATTCTGCCTTGTGGTAGGAGGGTGATGGCTTGAGCCACTTGTCACAGTCCCACAGCCCCCCAATACTGGGTTGACTTTTAAGATCTCCAGCATTGAGTCATCCCCGTGGTGTCCAGCTCTGTGGGATGGGGCAGACCTCCCGGGGCATTGAGTCATCCCCGTGGTGTCCAGCTCTGTGGGATGGGGCAGACCTCCCGGGGCATCTGGGTTCTGCCGCCGTCCAATTACGTGGCTTCGGGAAGGTCACTTATTATTGTCTTTCTTCGTCAACAGAGTAGACCTAAGTGTGGTTCTGAGAAGCCAGGGAGCCTCAGAGGGCATCTGGCCCACCCTGGCCTTTGGGCCGGGGTCTGGGGGTGTGGCCTCTCAGCATTTTGTCCCACATGCGTATGTGACCTGTGTCCATCAAGAACTGATGAGACCACGTGGTGGACTCAGTGACGAGAAGGACTGACACTCTGACACCTGCTACAGCAGGGCTGGACATTGAAGACGCCATGCTGAGCGAGAGAAGCCGGCACAGGGGTCCACGTACAAAGCGACTGCGTTTCGGGAGATGACCAGAACAGGCAGATCTGCGGGGCCGGCGGTGGGGTTAGGGCAGGAGGGGAGGCTGGGGCAACGACCACCAGGGACTATTCTGTGGGGCCCCTTTTCTCTGGGGTTCTGTTTCGGGGTGATTAAGGTGTTCCAAGATTGATGTGGTGACGGGTCACAGGTCCCCTGTGAACATACAGAAGGCCGGAGATGCGGGGGTGCTGTGCTGTGCTGTGAATCATATTTCAACGATGCTGTGTTCAGTCGGGAACGAGATGTTGGGTGCAGAGTGCAGCCCTGTCACAAGGTGCTTGGGGACTGTCCTCCCGCACTGCCGGGCACAGGGGTGGGCCCCATGTGGGCACTTCGCTCCACCTGAGTGTGGTTAGTGCCCACAGCCCCCTGGCCTGTCAGTCTCACTGGCTTTACTACCCTGGGCCTGCCAAGCCCAGGGGCCACCGAGGATCCTGCCCCCTCTGAGCAGAAGCTGCCCAGACCTTTGACTTCCATCGAGGCGCAGACTGGCCAAGAGCCCTGCTGTGTCTCTACGCCATCCAGACAACGGCCCCAGAGCCCTGGCCCCTCGCGGCGGGCTTCTGCAGGGGTCCCCAGCCCCGGGCAGAAGCAGGAGTGTCCCCATCTGCAGGCTCCACCTCCCACATCTCTGCTTATTGCTTCTGTTCCAGCTGCGTGGCCTCTGCTGCCCTCCAGCCATCAGGCCGGACCCTGCCTCAAGGCCTTTGCACTGGCTGTGTCTCTTGCTAGAAAGCTCTTCCCTTTTGCCTTCTCCATGCCTTTGCTCAAACGTCACCTTCTCACTGAGGCCTTCAGGACTGCATCCCCGCCCCCCCGCAAACCCCTGCCTTTCTTTCACTGCCTTACTGGCCTTTTCTCCGTCTCACTTGGCACCGGGTAGACTGTTGAGTGTTTTACACTAGTTCTGTGTGCCGTCTGCCTTCCTCCAGTGCAGGTGTCTGGCGGTGGGGTTTGCCCGCTTTGTCTGCCCTGTAGCCCCAGGGCCAGAGACAGAGGCGGGTTTACCAAAGGTGCTCGACAGGCAGCCACGAGCGTGTGAGTGATTCCGGGACCCCCTGGTGTCCCTGGGAACTCGGAGACAGGTTTCTCCCTGTCCTCTTCCAAAGCATGGGAAGCAAGCAAACATGAACTCTGAACACGGGCTCCCGGCAGCACAGAGACCTGGGCTGTCCGGGCCCACTGCACCCACACCCTCGCCGTGAGAAGGAAACCCCGGCCTGAGTCAAGGAGTCCGGCCCACACGGGACATCCTGCACATGTGTCATTTCCACAGCCCTCGCGCTGGGGACGATAAGCATAGAATCACCGTGGGATCCAGCACTTCTGCCTCCGCGTATGTCCCCAGAGTCACCAACGGCAGGGTCTTGTGGAGATTTACACACCCGTGTTCTTGGCAACGTGACTCACAACTCCCCAGAGGTGGAATCATCCCCGGTGTCCGCTGACGGGTGATGGCCAGACAGAGCGTGGCCCATCCGCACAGCGGAATGTGATTCCGCCTTAAGAAGGGAGGCGATGCTGACGCAGGCTATGCACAGGTGCACCTTGAGGACGTGCTGCTGAGTGAGACGTCAGCCACTAGAGGACAAACCCTGTATTATGCCACTTCCATGAGGTCCCTAGAACAGCACATTCGTAGAGACAGGAAGGAGAAGGGTGGGTGCTGGGGGCCGGGTGCGGGGGAGGGGTGGGTAGTTCATGGGGACAGAGTTTCCGTCTGAAGTGTCGAAAAAGTTATGGAGACGATGGTTGCACAATAACGTGAACGTGCTTAACGCCACTGAACCGCGCACTTAAAATGGGTTAAAACTGTCAGTTTTGTATTGTGTATGTTATTACATCTCGGCCTTTAAAAGTGTGGTATCTTCACAGCCAAAGCACATGAAGTGAGTCACTTTAAAAGAAAACCACGAGGCTGTGGTGGGCATCGCTGCTCTGCAAGGAAGGCTCACATTTTCTTATTACAGTTTCCAAATGCGGCAACCACGGCCACAGCCCTTGTCTCAGGGACACGCGTCCCTCCAGGCTGCCTCCCTGAGATAAAAGCGAGTGCAATGCCGCCTCCTGAGCGCTGACGCGGTCTTCTCTCCCAGGACGCACGGGTGGCCGTGGGCCCCTTCCAGCCCTCCCGCCTGCTGCCCGCCTGCCGGGACTATTGGACGTACCTGGGCTCCCTCACCACGCCTCCGCTCTCCGAGTCGGTCACCTGGATGGTCCACAGGAAGCCCATTGAGGTGGCTCAGGACCAGGTGAGCTGCGCCTGTACCCGGTGACCGAGCACAGCTCCTTCTGACCCTGCGATATTGGTGTGCGAGAGGGAGACAGGGAGAGACTGGGAGAAACACAGGGAGGGAAGGAGGGCTGAGGGGGGGGACCTGGGGGGACAGTTATATTTAGCACTGTCTAATCTCAGTGGTCGGGACCCAGGCGTGGCAAGTCTCCCGATGATGAATGGCCGGACAAGGCGAGTGCCAGCTCTTCAGTCCATGTTGGGGTAAAACCCCTTTCAAAGAGCAGAAGTGGCCTTAGAGCTGGGACACAGTCCCTGCCGTATTGGGATCTCAGTAGGCGCACGTGGGTGTGAGGGTTGCCGTGGGGCAGAGCCTGGCTGGGGCTGGCGGGGGCTGGCTCACGGAGCTGCTGTCAGATGTCCCCGGGGCTGGGAGACTCATCCCCGACGCGGCTCACTCAAGCGGCTGGCGAGCTGTGCTGGCTGTTGGCTGGAGGCCCTTTCCCTTCCGCATGGGCCTCTCCATCCTCACAGCATGGCGGTGGGCTCCCCAGAGCAGGGCATGAAGGAAACCAAGAAGGAAGCGGCAGAGCCTTTTCTGACCCACTGGAGGCATCACCTCCGCCGCGTCGCTGTGGTCCTATAGGTCCTTGATTCAGTGTGGAGGGGACGGCACGAGACACAGGGGTACGGGCGCTGGCCCACTCTGCACCTGCACCCAGCTCACCCTGCTCACCCTCCGTTCCAGCTGGATGCCTTGCGCACACTCCTGGTCACTGCACTTGGTGAAGAAGAGAAGACAATGGCGAACAACTACCGCCCCCTTCAACCCCTGATGAACCGCACGGTCCGCTCGTCCTTCCAGGCCACTGAGGACGGCGCAGGATCCTAAATCCCGTGTCTGAGCTAATGGGAGAACTGACTTTAGAAAGAGAAAGGCCGGTTGCCCAAACTTCACAGTCTGATCAAATGTAATCTCTGAAGTTAGAAAGAGAGAAAGAGGTCTTGATTTTGGTCCAGGCACTTCTCAGCTGCAAGGAAAAGGGTCAGTTCACAGAGGCTTGAGCACAGCCGGGAGCGGACACGTGGGGCACGGAGGGTCTCAGGGCCCGAGCGAGCCCTGCCGACTGAGGCCGTCCGCCCAGCCCTCTCTCAGGCCCGTGGTTTCCTCTCTCCAGATGGGCGCCCTGTTTCTCCACACACATGGTCGCCCCATGGTTTCCAGGCAACACAGAGGCTGAGACTAACATCCTTCCTTCCCAGTTCTGAGTTCCGGGCTGCACCAGTGCCTGGAGCTGCCGAAACGGGGCTGGGGTGGGCTTCAAATTCAGCAGGAATGTATTTTCCTTCCCACAGTTCTGACACTGGAGGTCCCAGATCAAGGTGCCAGCATGGCCTGGTTCTTGGAGGGGGCTCTTTTGGCTTCTTGCTCTGTCCATGTGGCCTTTCCTAGGGACACGCACACTGAGAGAGCTCCCTCTCTTCTCCTTAAAAGGCCACTGACCCTATTGGACCGTGACCTCATTTAGCCGTAATTCCCTCCTGAAGTCCCATCTCCAAATACAACCACGTTGCAGCTTCAGCGTGTGAACTTGAGGGGCATGCGGCTCAGCCCCAGCAGCCACAAGGCAGCAGTGGAGGTGGGGCGCTTACAAGCAACAGACCTTTCTCACGGTTCTGGAGGCCAGAAGCCCACATTCAAGGTGCAGGCACAGCTGGGCCCCTCTGGAGGCTCCTGGCCTTTTCTAGCGTCTAGAGGCACGTGTGTCCCTTGGCTTGTGTCCCCTTCCTCCATCCTCAAAGCCAAGGAGTTTTCCAAAGTGATTGCTCAGGACAGGCCACCACTTAATTGTGGTCATCCTGGAGGGGGTGTGATGGTTTCTCACTGTGGGTTTTTTTAATTGTGGTAAAACACACGTAACACAGAAGCACCACCCACCTACAGTGTACAGCTCCGTGGTATTAGGTGCATTCACAGTGCTCTGCCGCCGTCACCACCACCCACCCCACGGCTCTTCCCATCTTGCAAAACTGGGGCTCTGTCCCCCCGACACGCGCACTCTCCGGCCCCCGGCCCCCGGCCCCCGCGCCCACCGTCCTACTTTCTGTCTCTGAGTAGTGGCTGCTCTAGGGACCTCATGTGAGTGCAACCGCACACTATGTCTCTTTCTCCAGCTAATTTCGCTGAGTCCTCAAGGTTCGTCCACGTGGTATCAGGTGTCAGGATTTCCTCCCTTTGTCAGGTTGAATAATAGCCCAAGTGATAACAGTGTTTTTATTTTTGTGGCCTTGAAACGACTCCCTGGGGCAGGGGTGCGGCTCTACAAGCCACCTCCCCGCGTTATCTTCCACCGTTACCTGCCTGTCACATAAACAGCGAAAAACAGCCCAGAAACGAAGCAAACGCCGCCGGCCCCCCAGGGACGGGATAAGCGCCGCTTCACCTGGGGCGATAAGGAGACTGACAGTCTGCAAGTAACACCTCAAATCAAAGGGACCGTGTTCTGGGTGTGGTTCATTTTGGCAGAGGTTTGCCTTTTCCTCTCCAATCACAGAGCTTCCTAGGGAATCAACAGTTTACAGTCTGGCTTTGGGCCGCTCGGGGTTCCGGCGCCTGCTACAGAGACCGGCGCGCCAAGCTTCCTCACACACCTGCTCCTGAGAAGGTGCGGCCGCTCCCCAGCGCGGGTGCCGAACAACGCTCGGTCCAAGGCAGCGCGACAGGCGCACGCGGGACACGGCGTCATTTCTGCTTCGCCACAAGACAAGAGCATGGGGGCTTTGGTGGCGGCTGGGGCATGGCGGTCTGGCTGGGTGCAGAGCACAGGCCGGGTGGACGGCCGCAGCCACCACAGACCGATGGTGTCCAGCGGCGAGGGAGATCTTTCAGAGTCTGCTTTGGACGCCAAAGGATTTCTTGTCTTTTGGGGAAATGTAGCCGTTCCTGAGTGTCAGGTGAGGGGGTTTTTAGCCCATAAGGAGAGTTTCCTGTGGCCACTGTGAAGAAAGGCCACGCTGGGAAGCTCCTGCCTCATGAGGACCCGTGACGACTCGGGGCCCAGCGGATCCGCCAGGCCCTCTCCTTTCTCACGATTCTTAACGCCACGACACCTGCAAGTGCCCTGGCCATCTAAGGTCACGCGTCTACAGGTCCTGGGGTCAGGGTGTGGACGTTTCCTGTGACATGGAATGTTCCGGAGCTGCCCTGCAAGACAGCCCTTGGGCACACACAGCCACTGGGCGCTTGAAACATGGTCAGTGAGATGGAGGCACAGAATTTCACCTGTACACACTTCCAGCTGAGTAAGTTGGAAGGTTGCATGCGACAGGCTGGTGGCCGTCACGTTGGACACCGCCTCTCCGTCCTGGCCCAGCGTGCGTGGGTTGGTGCGTCTGTGAGAGCCCCGGGCGCACGCGGTGTGACGTGCATGACGTTTAGAGAGACGCTCTTCTGCCCCTTGAAAGCAGAGGTTCCTGAGCTCTGCACACAGACACGAGGCCGCCTGGGGTCCCGCTCACGTGCTTCCAGGGAGCAGGGCGGGGCTGGGAGGGCTGGGCGCTCTGTCCAGGGCGCGGCGGGAAGACCCGTCAGGGACCGCGGCTCACTCGGGGCAGGCCCTTCGTCAGCCCCGAGGGCCTTGCGGAGTCCCTGCCCCCAGGTCACTGGCACCACCAAGGAAAGTGGACTCCGTTTAGTGAGGCAGGACACAGGTCATTCGTCCTCAACAAATTCGGTGTAAAATAAACATGTTTTGGCTCTTTTTAAAAAAGGATCAGGTTTAGTGATGATGTCGGTAAAAGCAGACCGGCTTCAAGGAGTCAAAATAGATGTTGGAAAAGGAAAAGATCAAGAAAGACACATTTCTGTGGAGCTTCTGAGCTGACGTCCCCGCCCTGTTGCAATGGCTAATTGAGAGGAGTTTACCCAACGAAGGGCTGCCACCACCACCAGTGACACGGGGGACAGGCTCCCCCGCCGGGCCCTGGGCTCAGCACTCCCACAGACGTTCAGCAGCCCTCAGCCCCACTGTGTGTCTGAAGCACGTGGGGGCCCAGCCCTGGCCCCTGGAGCTGAGGGTCAGGGTTTTAAAATCTCCCCAGGCGACTGGACGGTGTGGCTGGGATGGAGGCCACAGCTGTTCCACTTACATTTGTCATAACAAGTTCTATGAAAGGTCTGTGCCCTCACCCCCAGGTAGTAACATGGAAACCAGGCTCCCAGGAAAGGTGGAGACACTGCCCCGGAAGAGGCAGAGCCCAGAGCACCCATTTCCAGGTTACGGGCCGTCCTCCCAGGGCCCCACCGCCTTGGCTCCTGCCTCCCTGATGTGTGCTATTAAATTAAGGGAAAGAGGTAGCTCAAGGCAAAACGACCAAGTCCTGAACGTCACACTTTCGTGAGAAGTTGAATAATGACCTGCAGTTACATTTTGATGGAAACGCCGCCCAACAAGGCACCTGCTCAGACGCCCTGCAGCCTGTGAGGCTGCTGTTCTCAGATGTGGAAGGAAGGCCAGTGACCGGAGGGGGGCTCCCAGTCAGGGCTTGTGGGGAGAGAGAGCAGCCACGTGGCAGCTGCCTGCTTGCACAGGGCCTTGGGAACAGACAAAGGCCATGACAGGGGCCTTCAAGGAGGAGAGAGGACCGTGGGGCCCTGAGCCCAGCTCCCCCCACCGCACGGAGAGAGTGCGTCCCAGCCAGAACCCCAAGAGCAGGGGATGCCTTCACCTCCGCTTTCACAGCGACGGAGGGCTTTCCTCCGTGTGCCCCGCAGTCTTCGTCTCCTGGTGGATGTTCTGCTTTGTAGGTTATTTTTAAAATCTGGCGTGAGCCCTGGGACGCTGTGCGTCTCCTGGGAACCACACCAAGCCTGGACACAGAGAAACCATAAACACACGGAGAGGAAAGACGTGGCTCTCAAAGCCACGGAACAGAAAACAGACACGAGCAGGGCCGCTCCCTGTCCTGAGTGGCGGCCAGACCCCGGGGGCGAGGTCTGTGGGTCCACGGGGTGCGTCCTGTGATGTGACGGTGGCTGTGGATTGTTTTGTAGGACTCCTGGCCCGAACAATCAACTTCAAAGCTTATTCCCTTTGCTTTTATGTTATTTTCTGTTTTTGTGAAAGTCCAAGTGTGTGCCCCGCCCACCACCCTCGTCCATCCTGTGCCAAACAGGGATCCGGGCCCTTCCCACCCTGGACCCCCCGACGGCCGTCCCCGGGGGCCCTGGTCACCCCACTCTCTCACCTGCCTGCCACCTGCTCCTCCTCTCCTGGATCCCCCAGACTGCGCCTGGTGAACAGCTGTGCCCCGGCGACAACGGGGTGCCTCATCTGCAGGGCCTGTCTGGCCTCGGGAAAGGCCTCGGTCCACGCACTAAGGCCAGCCTCGGGGAGCCGCCCGGAGCTCCCTGCCCCTTATTCCTGCATTCCAGGCATCAGTGGGTCCTGTGGGTGACACCCCTCCCTGCCAGGTGTCCCACCCCCACTCCTGTTCTCCATTCTCTGCATTTCCACAGCCCCCAGGCTGCCACATCTCCAGCCTGAATTGTACCTCCAGCCCTCTGGTTTCGTGCTTTCCTTCCAGCGGCGCCCCATCTCCACCTGATCCATTCTTCTCTCGACGGTGCAGAGATTTGGGGGGTGTCAGCAGGACCGTTCTGCTTCCCTGTGTAAAGCCTAGGCTCCCATTACCCTTGGAGTTAAGCATGTGCCTCTTCCTGCGTGACCTGGACCCCCACGCTCCCTTCACGTCGGCCTCTGCACGCAGGGCCCTTGTTGCTTGGGTTGCATCGCCCATTGTCCCCCTCCTCCGCAGCCTGACCCAGAGCACAGCCTCCCTGCCGTGCGGCCAGGAGGGTGTATCCTCACCTGCTCGCTTGCTCACGGCACTGAGTAAATACCCGTTTAGCAGAAACTGACAGCGGTGCCCCCGCTCCTACAGCCGGGTGCTGCTGGCTGCCCCGTCAGTGGTGCGTGCTCTGCCTCGGCACCTTGACGTGCTGTTCCC